CTGGAAATCTCAACAAAGGGCTAGTGTCTTGTGTTGGATTACTCTCCACTCACCAGCTGGGGAGACATGCGTTCAGATTACTCAGTTCTGCTTCTAAAATGAAGACTATAAAAATGTCATAAACAACAAAATACTCTTTCAGGAGAAGCTGCTTAAAAAAATGCTGAACCCTGGTATCTGTTGCTCTTCTCAGAAAATATGCATGTGACAAAAGCAGTGAGCTTGTGGCTGTTAGTGAATGCCCAGAGACTTCTGATTTTCACTTTTGTAGGTCCAAGAGCTTCCAACAATACAGACGCATACAGTCAGCTGTAAAATATGAATGGTAAAGCATTATCTCCCAGATTCCTGCCCGTTGGGTGTGATCTTACAAGGAAACAAATAGGATTTTGGTTGCATCGCTGTTCGATTGGTTTCAGTTACTGTTAAAATATATAATTTTTGCAGTTTGACTGAAAAGATCAGTTTAAAGTATTTAGCACTTGATGTCGGCATATGTATGTGACAAGCTGCAGGAAAATCCTGGAATAAATCCAACTGCTTTGTCATTCTCTGCTCAGGGACAGACATAAGCTATTTGCTTGTTTTATTTTACAGGCTGATTAGAACCTGTTAAAGAAAGGGAACATTCTATTAGACTTTGAGAAATACTCCCCTTCAATTAGTCAATTCGGTTCATAAAGGTAATTTTCACAAAGGAACCTCCCTTTAGTAGCTACTTACCTCATCCATTTTCCTGCCATTCTACTGCCTCCTCCAAGCTCCCCAATTTGCACCCCTACTTTCGTCTCGGTTACAGTGTTACTACTAAACCATCCTCACTCCTTCAATACAGAAACCAGCCTTGCATTAAAATTACATATTCTTGCCTGAAGCACAGCTGACCTGTATTAAGATCTCGGCTGAAAAGGAATAATGATCAAAGAATCATTACTCTCAACAGCATACCATAAGGAGGAATTCGTCTTGTTTGAACTCCCTGCCAGTTTGCAGTGTTGATTTCACACACAAGCAGGCTTCGTTTGTAATGAGCCAATGGCAGAGCGTGTTTGTCTTAAACTGAGTATTTTTAGGCTCCCCTGATCATGCAGACATGTGGACAAGCCCTCAGTGTCAGTAGTTCAAGTGTGCGTTTTTTTCCTCTGGCTTATATTCCCAAACGAAGGCTGAAGTGCATAGAATCTTGTCATGTACAACCTTTGCTTGCATTCTTGTGGATTAAACTGGAAAATAGAGACATCAAGCTGGCCAAATTGCAAAGGAAAATCTCCCCTCTCCTTTCCTTCTTCCCTCTTGTCCCACCAACTGTTTTTCTTGGATCTATTGAAACTGGCGTTCTATTTTTACAGGTGGTCTCTATTATAAGGAGGGGTCCCCTTAGAGACAGAAAGCACATGTCTTAGAGAGCAAAGACATTCCAGCATTCCAATAGCCCTCTCCTCTCGTCTTTCACTGAAACAATGAGAGGAGCTGTTTTTATAACCTCCACTTGGGATCGGTAATCGGATGCCAGTAGCGCCAAGAGCAGGAGAGGCCCAATGACAAGCCACTGTCACGAGGTGACTGTCTTATGACCCTTTTGGAAATGCATTGAGGCAGCTATTGAGTCTTGTTGTAGTGAGGGCTGGTGCTAAAGAATTTTTTGTATTCTTCACAATTCAGAGCTCTTTACCCGGTGGTCTTGTGTCCTGATCTCATGACAACTGTTTCTTTCCAGACATCTACTTCAATCTATGTGTCCGTTTGAGCTCTACAATTTGAATAAGCTGGTCACTAAAACCAAGAAACACAAGTCTTCCTCAATATGTCCATCAGAAGGCATTTTTTATATTTGTTAAACAATAAATGGACACACATGGAAGTCAGTCTGCTTTTCAAGGGCAAGGAGGAATGGACGTGAAACTTTATACTTTTTTACAAAACAGTTTAATAATAACACCTCCCTGTACCGAGGGCAAGACAGCCAACAATTTGTCTGAGTGGGGGAAAAACGCTCAGTCAAGGCAACTGCCTGGCAAATGTCTTCTTCCTGTCCCACTGGCATAAAGTGCTTAACATGAGACTGATGGCCAAGATGAGCCACTGGGCTCTAACACCAGTCTCCTGACTTGTTTTCCCATTACCCTGCTAAGTGTAAAATCCTTTTCCTTCACCGATAATGACTTATTCTGTGGTGGCAGTATGTGATAAAAAAGGCGCAATCTGTAACTTGGCCTTTTCTTTCACATCACCACATTTCATAGTCGACCCAATTTGTCTTTCTTCCCTTCTTAAGCTCGGCTTTGTAAATCCCAGATTTCGATTTCCGACCTCGTTGGGGTTTTTTTTTTGGCTGGGACTAATGTAAACCGACACACAGGCAGTAGAACGAGATGAAATCATTTCTTTGGCCCTTCTAAAGGTCAGGGCTTGACCTCGTTTTGTTCTCTAGAGTGTTGACGCCACACACTGAGAACCATCCCTCCCTGAGATCTCACTGGGGTCTTACAGAGGGAGTGGGAAACCTGCCTTTTATCCTCCTGGCATTTTTATGTAAACTGTTATTGCTTGTTGTAATAATTATTATGTATCAATTATTACTTTTTAGAACAAATATGAGTTGTAAATTCTAATCTACAGGACATAGAATGCATTCTACTGGCTGTGAGGGATACTAAGCAGTGAAGAATGGTGAAAACAGGAGGAATCCAATTTTATAATCTGGTGACACTCTCTTTTAAATGGCTCAGTTAGAAAAAAACGTTCAAATGAAATTTTATGTCCTGTTTTCTTTTCATCTGGGCTATGTGGAGAGATGTGTATGCTTTAATTGAAAAGATTGTTCCCATATATTAACATTAAATCTATTTCAGGGACAGGTATTACTAACTAGCTAAAGTGCATTCTCAGCTGTCACTGTCAAACAAATACAGTGCAGTGTAAACTTTAGTAATTTGTGTTGAATAGTTCTCTGTCACACTACTAGAGCTGTGATCCTTTAACTTAATATCAAAGCAGTTGTGTCAGCAGAATATTGGCAAGATTTACACCCTCAGTTCAGCAACCTGAAAAAGCTTTGGGGTCTGTTTTTTCATTCACATTTCTTTTTCATTCTTAGAGAGGGTTAATAAATTGAGCCGCAGGCTCTCAGAACCACATGATCTCTGCGTTACTTCAGCAATAACTGTATAACAAATGTGAGAGGCTCTGTCACAGCCATTCAGAACAGTCTTGTGTTTAAAAGGAATCAAGGGGCTTCTTCAAAATCTGTTCTTTGTTAATCTGGGTTCAATTAAATTGGAGAAATGCTGCAGCCAGTGAATGTCTCCTGCCGTTCATAACTTTGTCGTGACCCGTAACTGTAGTATTTTTTCCCTCTGAATTTTAAAAGCTGTGGGACTTGCCAGAACACCTTTTAAGATCTACTTGTCCATGTTTGTAGCCTCTCAGGAGGACTTTCACAGGTTCTCCATATTAACACACTGCATTGATGCAAAACTGATGACACCTGTCAGGCAGCCAGTGGGTCACACTCCTGTAACTAACAAGGCACTGAGGAAAAACATCTCTAAAACATGCTAAATGCAGACGTTGTTGTACTAGTGCAGAGTGGACATCCCCAATACTTTTAATAAAGAAGAAGGGTGTTAGGTGTAGTGACCACTGAGGGATAAATGACTTGACCACCTACCTCCTGCCAAAAAATGAGTGTTCTGATGCTCAAGGAGGAGCTCATAATCTTTTTCAAAACTTACCTCCCTTCTGCTTAGCTGAGCCTGAAGATAAAGCCTGCCTTCAAGACACAACCTCTGCCATCACACATATCTATGCAACAGCAAAGGCAGAGAATCTCCCTGACGTGGCTATTTTAGTAGATATTTTAAAGATCACAGTATTGATTTTGGTTCGTCTTCCTTGCAGCAGAAATCTAGATGTTCCAGCCGCCAGTCCACTAGCATTTTTATTTTTTTAAACAAGCGAGTGTGTGTGGTGAAGCTGCAGTTTAATTTAAATCAGACATGATCCTGTCCCTGGTTCTGATAAGGCATATGTTAACCCTTTTAAATTGCAAGGTTGAAAAAACCACACCACCCTCCTGTCCTTCCAGCAATTTCCAAGAATGTGCCTTCTCTACAGCTAACCAGACCAACAAAATGAAACTACTTTCATTCTTTAACCATCTATAAGGTGTTTGCATAGATATTTACAGTGGTACAATAAAGCAAAAGCCCGTTGCTGTCGTGGTAAAGTGTGGAGAGGTGGGATGAACCATGATACAAAGAATTATCATGTGAGCTTTCAAATGACAGGAACGACGACCCATCTGATCAGTGTTTTATCTCCAATATTTTACCACTAGGTCTGTTACAGGGAAGCATGGTGAAAGCTAAAAAAACAAAACAAATTTTGAGTAAGCTCCAGATCTAAACTGAAAACAGCCAACAAAAAATTCACTCAAGGACCCAATTCAGATTTGTTAAATTCCAAGCGTTAACTCCCAGTCTTTTATGGAAATGTAACAGCTGAAGGGGGGAGTGTTAGTCTGTCAAATGCCCGAGATTGCTGTTCTGTGATGGTAATTTTGGCATTTGCTTTTGAATTCTGTTACACTTAAATGCACCGGGTGAACACGGGCTGTGCCCTGCAAATCTGCAGTCCAGTACAGTTCGTGATGGAGTGCAGGGCAAATTGAAATGTTTCTGTAAGCGAAATAAAATGTGATCTGTAGCCACCGTACTATGTATATGTATGTGTCGGAGGTCAAGGATAAGAGTGTAAGACTGGAAAGAGGAAGGAACTTAACTCTTTCCTCCTCAGATTTCCAGTAACGCTCTTTCCTCTGCAGCTTTCCAATTCTTTTAAAGTGGGAAAGGACAGACACTCTGCAATCCTGACCGCATCAGCAGGCCTGCAGTTACACAGAGCGCTTCAGCAGATTATTGTGTCAGAGGCTGTTTCTGATGTCCTCTCCTTTGTGTATTCGTTTCTCGGCTAAGATTGTTGCTTTCTCTTTTCCACAGGATGTCTGAGGCACTGACACAGCAGGAGAGACTCCAGGCTATAGCGGTGAGTGATCAACTTTCCCAAGGCGTTTCCTCTCAGAACAGGGCGCATAACCCAGTCCATACACGTAGCCCATGGAACAAAAGCACCCAGCTCACCACAGCGCTCAGAACGTCAGGGACACCCGATGTCTGTCAGACTTTTATTTAAAGCCCTTGCATTTTCAAATATGTTGTCCCCAGCTCTTGCAGAATAATAGTTTTGTCTAAAAACCATTCATTGTAAGGACTAGTTTCTGGTAGGATCTGAGGCTATTGGACCTGATATGCTGCAAGGGTGATGATGTTGAGGAAGGGGTGCAAAGCAGTGAATGATGGGATAGGGCTGTTATGCCCATGTGTGTACTTAATGGGCAATGCCCACATTTTGCCATTTGTAACCCAGTTGAACCATAAGGATCACAAGAGCCAAGGCAAAAATTTCCAGCGGCACAAACTGAACACTTCTGTTGCACAAGACAAGCCACCCAATGCTTGCAAGGGTCTGATTGGCAGGTGCAGATGTCAATCACTGTAAACCAGGGTAGATTATTGTTCCCCCCCAGCCAATATGCACTCAAGCCCACAGTCTTCACCTACATTTCCTTTCAATTTTAACAGTGGCGATCTGAGAAAATGCAAGAAGAAACAGACCCCCCTCCTTCCCCTTGTGTC